AAGAAATTATACATGCTTGGGAAGACGTTAAAGCGATGTTTAATGGTGGCACTCGCAAACGATTGTTAAGTAGAAATGATTCGCCTCTCCAAATAATACAAAACGCTACTTCCACTCACTCAAATACGAACTCAACCTCTAAAATAAATAATAAACCTTCAAATTTTCAGCGTCATCAGGAACAGTATACAGAGAATAAAGAATCGAACGAAACAATATCTGCAAAACGCTTAAAGACACAAAATCTTGAGACTAACCAAAATCCAGTTCTTGGCGAGAGCGCAGTACCTGCTACAGTTGGTGCAGTAAATCCAATAAATGTTGCGTCTAAAATTTCACAGCAAACTAAAATTGTGTCAAATTCCCAAAATAGTGTACGGGATCATGAGTTGGCTACGATAATACCACTTTCAAGAAATTTTATGATGGATTATATGTGGCATGCACATGCAGCTCATCATCAACAACACAATAAATCAAAACTTATCAATGCATCTACATTTAATTTTCCTAATTGTAATATTCCCTGGCGCAAAGATAATTATTTATCCACCGTCACATCTTTATCTACAAAATACAATAATGTAAGTAATTTTGCTGCTACAAACTCTCCACTTAGTATCTGCTCAAATCCAACGAAAAACTTAAACGAAAATATTGATCACATACCTCAAATAATCAATAATTCAGCTTTTAAACCGGTTCACCATCAACAACAAAATAAATTGAATTCGATTAGTCCAAAAATGGCAACGGTTGAATCGGAATTGGATGATTTAAGAAACGAAAACTCTCTTTCTTCCAATATTGCTGTTTTACCTAAAACTGAAAGCAAAAACAAGTGTAACTTACCATATCATGTGCATAATTATCCCCGCAAAGTGATACTTTCTTCAGCTGGAACATATTCCTGTAATGAACCCGGTGTGCTTTTAAGCCAGCTGCAAATAACATCGGAAATGGGCAATGTTAAAGCATCTTATTTATCAGAGTGTGATCGTGACTATGAAACTACCAAAGATGATGATGATGAAGTAGTAGACATCGAAACAACAGAAGATGAAGGCCCAGATCAAAATATTCGTTTAATTCCAAACGAAACTATTCCAATATCAAGACATACTCTAAACAACAGTCCAAATAATTCCAATTCTAATTCATACCTTGAGATATCCTGTTCACAGCACTGCAGCAGTAGTAGTACAGATAATATAGATGTCGGTAATGTTGTTGAAGCGACTAATTTCTCGGAAGCCAAATCAAATACATTCATGCAATTTGAAAATAAAGTAACATATTTACCGCATTCTACTTTGCATGTTGCTGATACCGATTGCTCTTCAAATGAAAGTCTGCATTCGAAAAGTTCTTCCGAATTTATTATCGGCAAAAATTTACCAATTTCAACTATGTGGAATGATGTTATTAAAAACGAAGTAAGATCTTAAGTAATTGAAATAATGTAGAATATTTAAAATACACGTATACCAGATTGAAGAAATTTAATAAAATGTTTTTTATTCATGCTTTACTCCTGTTTTACAATTCAATCTCGCAATTTCCAAATATTTCATTAATTTATTACAATAAGTTGGTAGAATATAATCAAATGTACATGGCCCTATTAATTCGTACCAATTTATTTATTTGTCTTATATCTTACTCACTGCATTCTTAGAATTCTGTACAGAAAACATCGCATTATGTTCTAGTTCAATCCAACAATTTAATTATGAAATTAAATTCTCGGTTTCCAGTACTGCAAACAAGATCAGGGCTGTATAAGAATAATAGACATTACATTATACTGAAGTGTAATTCATTTCAATATTTCAGTGTGTTGCATATATGAATTAGTAGCATATTTTCTGAAAACAAACAAATATCAATAGACTTATACGCAATTCGTGAATACGAAACCCCTTTTTTTGTGGGTCTACAGCCACAGTAAATAAATGCCACTGCCGTCCAACACTGACCTGAACGGCAATATGGAAACTTAATTCCATTCCAGAAATTAAAGGAGAGCGTTGAGGTAAGGAGACTTAGGACTTAATAGTCTAGGTTTATCTAAGTTAGAAAGTATAGACGCAGTTTAGGGTAAAGGGAAAAAAGATTTGCCTTCGCAAACTACTCATTTCATTATTCTTTTAGTGAATTTTAAAATGTTAAGTTTATTAATTAGTTATGTTATTATTAATTAAAAGTATTTTTTTTAAAACATTTAGTAATTAATAACATATTTACTGTAGTTATTATATAAAAGTTAGAGTTAGCAGTTAAAGTCTATATATATACAAAAGCGAGTAAAACAAGGAATTTGATATTGATTAATGTACATTATTTTTTAAGTCTGTTATTCAATTTGTAATTTTCTAAGCAATTAATTACAATTAAATATTTTATTAATATTTAATAGAGATATTTTAATATATATCCAAATACATATATCTATATAATTAAAGAGTTCTTTTTATATTTTACTTTTATGAAATAACGTTAATAGGTGTAATGCTTAATATTTTTCCTTAACATTTAAAACAAAATAAATAAAGAGTTCTAACAAAATAAATATACGCTGTGCCTAAGCGGTGGTATATATCCTGAACGCTGAAGTGTAAAACACCTAATTGCTTTAACAGTGCGCTGAGTGTAACCCCAATTGTGTTAGCAATATAAGTTAGAAAAATTGGCACGTGACTTTCTTTGAAAACGATTTTGAACATATGTCAAAATGACTGAAACTGCTACATATATTATCCTTTCCAAATTCTATCTATTAAACGTACAATTGTATCATAATAGTACTGACAAATAATTTTAATTGATTCGCATATGAAGATTACTGTCATATAAAGTAGTGGCTTTTATCGATTGTGGTAGATTTTTTATAAGTACCGTACAAATAAAAGGTTGTGTACAGAATAATGTCAAAAATAAATTGCCAATTACTTTGCTAAAGGGCTATTAAAGTATAGACAACGATGACTTTCTTTATTGGTAATTATAAAAGTACTCATCCTTAACTAAAATCAATAAAATGACGGACAGCAAAATTGGAATAGCTTCATGACGGGATACTTAACTGTAAAAAGAAACAGTTATATCTTTAAGTCCTCGGGTGTTAATCTTTGTAAATTTGCAAATTTTTATTGTATTTTTACTAATTACTTATTTCATAACAAAGCATTATACAGGTATATAATTGTTTCTTTTTTCTTTTATTTGCATTTAAGCTGTTGATTTTAATGATTTGTATTCTCCAGAGATTATCGTAAGAAGTGAACTTTAATGTAAGTACTGACTCTAAAAATTAGAGAGAATTATAAATTCCAATTAAATTTATTTTACACTTAAAAGATATCTTCAAACCATTAAACTTGAACCCATTTGAGTTTGTATCTTACTGAACACGTGTAATTCACAAAAGAAAAGATACTTAACTGAAAGAATATTTCAAAATTGTGATGATTCACCACCACGATTAAGTTATAATAACAATATATTCTACCATCTGCAGCAATCAATTCAGTCATTTAACATTGATCTATTCATTAGATGCAGCACCCGCAATTCAATTGAATTGAAACATTGCTGAGGTGATGAATGGAAATCAAAACAAGTGGAAGTTTAATCCGATTTTATTTAATAAGCCCTCAGGCTATAAGCACTCTTACGGCAAATTGAAATTCATGCCTTCTAGCAGTTCAACAAAGTTGCATCAAATCGTATTAAACAAGTATATAAATTCAAAAGAGAAACAATTTGTGCTAGGCAAAATAATGTGGGAAAGGCAGAAAAAAAATTATCCAGTCCGGGTAAAGCAACATCCGAAAAAGTATGAAATGAACTTCATGCTATAAAATTAGATGACGTCTGCCATATGGCATAACACTGTTGTAGGTAAATGATAAGTAAGGCCTTAACAGATTTTAGTATTGGACAGTCTGTAAACAATTTCAGGTTGTCTGGGAAGGGTCTTACAGCTTTGTACATAAATCATACTTGCTTTACTTTTAGCCTATAACGTGGAAGGAGAATGCCGTGTGCATCCCTTTTACATCAAACCAATTACTTTTGCAAGTGATTGAAAAATATTTTCCATTGGATAAGACTAACCTTTAGTGAATTATTTGCACAAATCTGTCAATTATAAGTGATTAATGAATTGTTCATTTATAAGTGCTTAAATGAAATGTATTTGTACCTATAATTAATAATTGCAGTTTTTTTAATTAGGATTAGTTATAATTGGAGGTAAAAGCTAAGTAAACATAACTCAACAGAATTTCCTATATGAGTAGAAACAGAAGTTAATTTGGTCATTATAATTGTGTCCATATACGTATATCACATTTACTAATGAATGTGCTTTGGGGATATAGTCTTTTAGAATCAATTAATTATGATGTATGCGTAGATATGTATGTTATTTATTTATCTAATTGTTAATTAAATAACATAGGTATGAACCTCCTTATGTTTAAACATCTTGGACATAAAAGCAAAAACTAAGAATACTTTTTATATTTTAGTTTCCTCCAAGTTCTTAATAACGCAAGCTTTTTTACCAAAAATCACAATTTCGGTTTTGTTGTAACAGAAAATAAAATTTTGTGCAACTCGAATTATATAATATTTTATACTGAATGAAAGCTGAAACTAATAAAAATGTTTTAAGATGCTTTTCAATGTCCAGGTGAAGGAAATAGTACATCAGATAGATATAATATTAAATCTTCAAATTAAGATTCAGTCGGATTTTTTTCCAATTTTTTCAATTTTCAAAGTGATGAGACGCACACAGAAATTTTTCTGAGGAAGGTTTGAATACGAACCCTTTCTAAAAATGGAAAGGAAACTCCGAAAGTTATATTGAATGTTCCACATTTGCACAAAATAGGACTTCTTTAGGAACTGTTGAATTCTAATACACAATATTAAAATATTTCTAATTTCTTAGAAAAAATTAGTAATAAAAGATTTATGAATGAAGGTTTGACAAATGTGTAAAATTCAATATGAGTTTTGTAATTTTCATACAATTTTATGTACCTGAAATCATATTCATTGTCAATGAATAAAAATATTTGTCTTCAATATTACTGTGGCGTCCCATCACATTAAAAATTGGAAAAAATGTAAGAAACACAGAAAAAACCTTTTATCTGTGCATTATTTTGCAATAGCATCGAAATTTTTTTGTTTTTTATTGTTTTGCAGTTGGTGGAAAGCATGCAGTGTGAGACTTGAACCCACTTAAACCATCTCTTAGGAATGAGCATGGAAGTTTGCAGACGCGTAAAGCGGATACAACCCCATTCCAATAATAAAGCAAGAGAGATTAGAGCAAGAGGCTTAGTATTTAGGTGAAACTGAGTTCATCTAAGTCAGAAAGCATGGGTGTTAATTAGGGAGATTGAGAGATTGTGAAGGGAATGAGGCTATAGCTCAAACGCGGGGTACTAACTGTAGACTCTGTGACCATGGTCACGAAAGCCGCGATTACAGAGAGAGATGATGGAGGGATCGGAATCTCACTAATCGAAATCAAGGGAGTTTATGGCTCAAGATCTGAATGAAGTCCTTGGGGAGAAAGAAATTATTTGACTCACACTATTATTTCTTTTTAAATGTTTGTATTAGTTTCAGGTTTCGATACATTATTTCTTTGTGTTAAACATGCAAAAAAGTTTTCGAGATATATGTAAAAGATGTTGTGTAAAAGCCATAATATATGGTATATATATACCATAATAATACATCAGTCAATAAGTCGTACGACTCATATATATATCTGATCGTAAATTGAAATAGCATGAGATAGCTGAGACCGTAAAGATATCAATATTTTGGAATGCATATAGTATAATCTTCATTGATTATCTCGAAAAGGGAAAAACCATCAATAGTAACTACTGCACGGCATTACTGGATCGTTTGAAAGCAGAAATTGTGAGAAACCGACCTCATATGGCGAAGAAAAACATTTTGTTTCATCAAGGCAATGCGCCATGTCACAAGTCAATAAAAACGATGGCAAAATTGCAATCGAATTGCTTCCTCTTCCACCTTATAGTTCAGATCTGGCCCCCAGCGACTACTGGCTATTCGCTGATCTCAAAAAAATGCTCGCCGGTAAGAAATTCATCTCAAATGAAGAAGTAATTGCTGCAACTGAAGGCTATTTTGAGGTAAAAGACAAATCCTTCTACAAGCACGGCATCGAGAAGTATTGCCCTTGAAGGAGATTATATTGATGAGTAAAATCAATTTTTGGCAGAAAAAATTTGTTTTTTTTAGTTTGTTATATAGTTTTCACGTATATAGTATATATGTATAATTTGTATATATAAACTGTTTTTGGGATAATGAGGAATTTTAGATTGATTATTTTTTTATGTACACTTTTCTTAAGAATATTTTGCAAATAAATAAATATGTTTGC